AAACCTTCCACTCGATTTTTTGCAATCTGAGTCTCCACGATGCAAAGAACCGACGACGCACTAGCCTCCGCAAGATCGCGGAGCTCACGCACTGTCGCAGGATCGCCAATCCCGCGACAGTTCCAGCAGAGTATCCTCATTTGGCCCGGCGGTCCTCAAGGGAGGCCGCCTCTTCATAAATTTCTGAACATTCACCGTCTTCTCCCCCCTGTCTCCTCTTCTTGATAATGTGATTCTTCTCAGGGGTTGTAGCCACTGCATCAGGCTTGGTTGACGAGGTATTACCTTCCAACAGCATGACCGTGCCCGCCACCCTGCCTCCCATGTTCTGCAGCTTCTGTCCCCTGATATTGAGCGAACCATCAGCAGCTACTAGTCTCTTCCTGGCCCCTTTTCCACCCCTCATTTCAGCAGGAAACACAGGATCATCCTCCTCCATCCCCTGCGGCACACTAGGGCCGCCACCCCTTCCTCTTTCTCCTTCAAAACCTCTCCCCCCCACTGCACCTCCACCATCTCTTCCTCCTGTCCTACCCCTTCTTCTGCCTCCTCCATCTCCCCTTCCTCCATCTCCCCTACCACTTCCAGCGAAAGGCTGGCCCCCTGGTACCTCCGGCTCCCAGATCAGCCACTCGTCCCATCCAAAGGTTCTCGGGTCGTGCACCCCATCGCCGCATTCATCCGCAAGGTGCCCCATCAGCCCACACGCGAAACAAAAATCCGGGAGCTTCTCATAGTACATACTATATTTCTTCCTCTCCTTCAGAGTTATGTGGACAAACCGCACCAGTGGTACATTTACATCAACAAAAACCCTAGCCCTCAGTGTGCTGGCAGGGTTAATCCTCCCCTCGTTCATGATGACAGTAAATGGGGGGTCGCCCACCATTGCAGCTACCTTCTCCGCCAACTCCCTCTTCCTGGTGAGGCCATCTGATACACACATGGCACCATCGATTGTTGACGTTAATGATGTTGAACCAGTTAAGAAATCAAGTCATGGAAAAGTCATGGAAAATAATATTGTGCATGCAGCTGAATTTCATCAAGGAAAAGATGGTGTGTTGCGTCAAATATGTGGATCATGGATCAGTAGTACAAGAAAACCAACCCAGGTTTATTTGGTGCCTACTAAACGTGTCGAGTTTCTTGAATATATGACACACAATGTACGTAAAACAAATGGTGTGCCACATATTAATGTGCAACAAAGAAGATGGATACACAAGCAGTGCAAATCAGAGACGACACGTTGCACGAGTCAAGAGGAACCGCAGTCAGATGATATAATTTCGAATTTCCGAACTCCTCCACGTACAATTTTAATAGGCTCAGTTCTGATCCATATTAGTACATGAGTCTTGTTCTTTTATTTGATACGTGTCAAGAGTTATAGTCACACTTTTGTTTTATAGGAAAGGAGAAGCAACGTGAGTTGTCCAGCAATGTAAAACAGAAACGTGAGGAGTCCAGATCTTGTGGGGTTAGTTTACGTAGTAGGTAAGATTTAGTTTCTTTTTTTTTATCTTTATAGGCCAGGGTGGCAATACGGTGTTGCATATATAAGGCAAAGGCTTCGGCCGTGTAAACAGATCAGTTTTGAGTTTTATTCCGAATATGAGATATACAAAAAAATGTTCGAGTTACGCGCGACCATATCTTGTGTATTATCTGTGATTTTTCCCATCGTGGAAATTTACTAGCAACGGAGGGTTGATCATCACATCGACGCCTATGTGCTGATCCGAGGGGGTCATTATTTTCGTTTGTGTATTTTCGTACACAGGTGAAAATTGTTCTGGGAGGTTACGAGGAGGAACAGGGAGACGAGGTGTTGATCGAGTATCGCCGTGAAAGATCGGGCAGTCTACGCGCGCGAATTAGTGTCTCGCTAGTTTGTGCCTCATCAAGTGGTATTCAGAGCTAAGGTTAGTCACGGCGATTTAGTTTGCAATATCGTCTATGGAGGCGAGTATGGATGCGTTGAGCAGGAACGTATTGATGGAGGAGGAAGGCATTGGCAAGGTTGTCCTTTTTCACACACGTTGCGTCGTGAAGGAACGGTGTGTCAATTTGACGATCGATGAAGGTTCCGCGGTCAACATGGTGAGCATCGAAGTGGTGGAAAAATTGGGGCTGAAGATGGCACCTCTTGAAGACCGTACACATTGAAGTGGTTCAAAGGTGACATCAAAATTACTCATCGAATTTTGCTAATTTTTGATTTGGGGAAATATTGTTGTGCGGAATTTTATCACGTTTGTCCAGTGCCCATGGTGTCGTGCCATCTGCTACTTGGGAACCCATGGTGCACGCGTGTCGAGGCTGTTCGGAATGCCAAGAAGAATACTTACTCGCTATCATGGAAGGGCCAACGATTTTGTTTTACTCCAATGCCAACAGATGTATTTGTTCCAGATTGGAAAAGTCGTTTGCTGAAAAGAAGAGAAGAGCAAGAAGATATAAAGGAAAAAAATGATGGACCGATAGAGGGGCTGAATCTTTTGGTGGAGAAGGTGAAAGATGATTGCGGTGCAAAGGGACAGCGGTGGAGTGTTTTTAAAACACAGTGTAAGATCAAGAATCATGCTTGCAAGATGATAATTGATGGTGGCAGTTTTACCAATGCCATCAGCAAAGATCTTGTGAAAGAATTGGGTTTATCCATATGGCGGCACCCGCAACCGCATCACGTGGAGTGGTTATATAACTCCGGCAAATTAAAAATTACACACAAGGTACGTGTGACATTTGATGTTGGAGATTATGTTGACAAGGTGGATTGTGATGTTGTGCCGATGGATGCGTGCCAGTTGCTATTAGGAAGACCATGGCAGTTTGATCATGATGCGGTCCATGCTGGAAGATCTAACACATACACGTTCATGCATGATGGAAGAAAGCATGTGCTGAAACCAATGGCAGACAATGCAATAACCATAGAGATGCAAGTTCCGGAGAGGAAGGTGGTACAAAAAATAGACTCGAAACCGAGGACGGTTTCGCTTGAAGGGAGGGAGGATGATACACACATGGCACCATCGATTGTTGACGTTAATGATGTTGAACCAGTTAAGAAATCAAGTCATGGAAAAGTCATGGAAAATAATATTGTGCATGCAGCTGAATTTCATCGAGGAAAAGATGGTGTGTTGCGTCAAATATGTGGATCATGGATCGGTAGTACAAGAAAACCAACCCAGGTTTATTTGGTGCCTACTAAACGTGTCGAGTTTCTTGAATATATGACACACAATGTACATAAAACAAATGGTGTGTCACATATTAAAGTGCAACAAAGAAGATGGATACACAAGCAGTGCAAGTCAGAGACGACACGTTGCATGAGTCAAGAGGAACCGCAGTCAGATGATATAATTCCGAATATCTGGACTCCTCCACGTACAATTTTAATAGGCTCAGTTCTGATCCATATTAGTACATGAGTCCTGTTCTTTTATTTGATACGTGTCAAGAGTTATAGTCACACTTTTGTTTTATAGGAAAGGAGAAGCAACGTGAGTTGTCCAGCGATGTAAAACAGAAACGTGAGGAGTCCAAATCTTGTGGGGTTAGTTTAGCGTAGTAGGTAAGATTTAGTTTCCTTTTTTATCTTTATAGGCCAGGGTGGCAATACGGTGTTGCATATATAAGGCAAAGGCTTCGACCGTGTAAACTGATCAGTTTTAAGTTTTATTCCGAGTATGAGATATACTGAAAAACGTCCGAGTTACGGGCGACCATATCTTGTGTATTATCTGTGATTTTCCCATCGTGAAAATTTACTAGCAACGGAGGGTTGATCATCACATCGACGCCTACGTGCTGATCCGAGGGGGGCATTATTTTCGTTTGTGTATTTTCGTACACAGGTGAAAATTGTTCTGGGAGGTTACGAGGAGGAACAGGGAGACGAGGTGTTGATCGAGTATCGCCGTGAAAGATCGGGCCGTCTACGCGCGCGATTTAGCGTCTCGCTAGTTTGTGCCTCATCACCATCTGGCAGCCCCTTCACTCTTGCCCACACCGGGATAGTGTTTAATCTATATTCCTTGACATCTGAGAATCCATCATACTCTTGGATCACCACCGGCGCCCTCCTAAACAGCCACGGTCCTCCCTCCATGATCTTCCTCCAATCCCCCAAGCAATGGCATTGCACGAGAAATAGGTTAGGTCCCTTGATGTTGAACGTGACGCCTTGCGCCGCTGCCCAAGCATTGCGCATCTGCTGCAGTAGAGCCGCATGACTGAACGGCTTCGTCGTGTGGACACGAAAAAGAGCAAGCCAACAGACGTCTTTAATAAGATCTTCAACCTCTGATGAGAAATCTAGATCCTCACCTTCCTTCCCATGCAATTTCAAGCCCGCAAACTGGTCCTCTAAATCAGTTCGGGCCCATGGACGTCCCCAATCTCATCATCCGTCTCCACCAGATCATCCCTCTCCTCCAAACTTCTTCCCCGACCTCCCGTCCTCCTGTTCTCCTCCGCCCTCCTAGCCTCCTCGCCTCCTCTTCCTCCTTCAGATCCGATCGTCCCAGCCGCCGCCCTAGGGGCAGCCGCCGTCATCATAGCACCAACCCCCCCCATCTGTCTCCCGATGTGTTTGTTCCGCCATGCAAACAGATGTGCTTGGAAGCAGGTAGATCGCCCCCGTGGCCGGAGAGATCCAGCGATCGTGAGGATTTAACGTAGACTCTGGCGAGATCGCCAGAGGAGATGTGGAACCCTAGAAAACTTCCACCGGGCCTGGCTAGGAGAGCAAAAACGAGTCAGGCTGAGCAGGGCCTGGGTAAGGAAAAACAGGGCCAAAAACATAGATGACCAGTTGATTGATTGCCTGCATTAGTAGTCTTGTCATCGAGATGCAATTTTCACCCGGCATTTGGTTTCATACATGCATATGATTAGGAGTTAACAACAAAGCTTAACACCCACCAGGTTTGACATCTCATTTCGTCGAACACGTTGAGCGGCCAGAGGTTCCTCTGCCCATCATGTCCACCGCCAGCTCCCGGCGACCATGGGCGCGCTCGGCACCTGGACTCCTCCACGCACGGTACTGCTTCCGCAACAAGGAGAAGCGGGAGGTGTACCTTGTCATGGACCAGATCATGAGCAAGGACCTCGGGAGCTTCTTCAAGGAGGCGAGCGGCAGCGCCAAGCGGCCGCGCGTGCAGGTCCCGCTCGTCGTCGTCGACGCCATGCTGCAGATCGCGCGTGGCATGGAGCACCTCCACTCCAAGAAGATCTACCACGATGAGCTCAACCCGTCCAACGTGCTCGTCAAGACGCGGGGCGCCACCGCCGATGCGTACCTGGTCGTCAAGGTTGCCAGGTTCACCGGTGACCCCGCCACAACCATGACCAGCCCTCGCTGGAAGGTGTCGCACGCCACCGCCGCCGGCGCAAACGCAAACGCCAATGCTAGTGGCAATGGCAGCATCAACCCGTGCATTTGGTACGCGCCGAAAGTGCTGGAGAACGACGAGCCCGGGCAGGTGTAACACCCCAAAATTTTGACCTTGATTTATTAATTAAAATTTTTGCCAAGAAATTAAATTTTTATTTTCTGGTTTTATCTTTTAATTTCAGATCACTCTGTCCCTCTGAATTTTTAAGTTTTTCCTTCTAGGTGGAAACCTTTAAAAAATATTATTGGACTTGTATATCTTCCCAAGACCATTTCTTTTTATCAGTGGAATTATTTCTACAATTATTTTTCCTAAGCTTATTTTCTTTAAAAATGATTTTTCATTAGTTCTAGAGTTCCATTTGCACTACAACCCTTGCAAATCCTTCTTTAAAAGTTCCACGAAAATTTGGGGATGTCATGTGATGTTCCCACATCACTTTTGTGCAATAATATCTTTTAGTCATTTGGAGATTTTGAGCTCTACCCCAAGTTTTCAAAACTGGTCCAGTTTGTGATTTAGCACTACAACCTATTTAAATATGCCTTTAAAAATTTCACCAAAGTTGGGAGATGTTAGTAGAAGTATATAATTCATTTATATGCAAAGACCCACTGGTGTTCTTTGAAAAATTTGAGCAAAACATCCTCTTTTGCTCTCTGGCCCAATTTGATATTTTCTACTGCAAACCTATTTTGTTTTGCTCTAGTGCCCATGAGATCTTTCCTGCTTATAGTCCACCCTACCAAACCCTTAAGTCCGGGAGATTGGACCCATTGAAATATTTTTCGTCCATGCAATAATAGCCTTTATTTTCTATCCAGATTTGGTTTTCTCAAAAACTTGCACTAGGGATTTTTTGTTTTTGTCAAACTAACCTTACCACCCTCTTTATCTTCTAAAGAGACTTTGATCTGGAGTTTTCGGCCACCCCAAGTGATGCCTAGAAGCCCATAGCATTCTGTCGAGCACCTTGTGTGCATGGCCAGTTTTGGCATAGTTTTTAGTTTATATTATGAACTTGATTCCCTGACCGAGTAATCATGTCCACTAACCTCCTAGATACCTCTAACCTTGTACTGTTATTTTGCATCGCCACCCAAGCCCTCTAGGCCACCCTGGCATTCCATTGAGCACATGGCGTGCGTGCTCTGGGCGCGGCCAAAGCGCGCGTTTTGCATGTGTGTGCGCTCGAGCCACCGCGTCTTACCCCTGGCCCTTGCTCGCCCGCAGAGCCACGCCCCGTTCTCGTTCGCTCGCCAGAACCCTCCAAGCCGTCCCTGGAGCCCCGCAGCGCCACCGTCAGGTCGGCCATGGCGGCTAACGGACGGCCGCAGCAGACTCCTGCCATGGACGCCGCCGCCCGAGCCACAGCCGCGCGCCAGCTCGCCCCTGAACAAACCAAGCTTATCCGCGAGCACGTCCGCCACGCGCCCGTCGCCGCCACGCGCCCCCTGGGCAACAGGACGAAGGAAGCCAACGATCTTATCCCCGGCCGCCGCGGAACCGACCTTGACCACCTATAAAAGGAGCCCCGAGCTCGTCCAGACCTTCAGGCGACCTCAAGCCATCCCTCTAGAGCCCCCACAGCCAGCAGTCGACGGAGGGAGGCCTTCCTCCTCGTCTCCGGTCAGTTCGGCCGCCGCCACACTCCGGTCCCGTCCGTGATGAGCAAGGCCTCCCCAGTCCATCCAGTGCCACCGTCCGACTCCCCTTGACCTTGCGGAGCCACCCCACCTCTCAAACCCGGTCGGGAGCCACCGTAGCTCGAGACCCCATTTTTTCCGAAACCACCGTCCGCCGCGGAGCTCGCCGCCAGCGACCCCCTCCACCCCCCGCCAGCCTATCGACCACTGGGAGGATCGCCCTGGACTGGCGGATCCATCCCTGACCTCGGAATCCCGTGGGGAGCCGCCGTTCGTCGGTGGCAATCGCCGGAGCTCCGCCTCTGCTCGGCCAGAGGAGAAAGAAGGCGTGGGCGACTGGTCAAACCTGACCAGTGGGCCCAAGGGACCCACTGTCAGTCCATGCTGGCGTAAGTGGAAACGTATTCCACCGAATACGCCTTCGCTAGGGGAAAGCGTAAGCCCCCGAACCGTTTTCTTTTTCTAATTTTTATTAAAAACACAGTTTTGACTAAACTTTGACTGGCTATAACTTTTTAAATATAAGTCCAATTGACTTGATTCCTCTTCTGTTGTTTCTCAAATTTGGTCTAGTTTATTTTCATGTTTATTTGAAAATTTTCTAAACAACTTTTTTGTACTGTTTTGGAACTATGTGTTAATTCAAATTTTCGTAAAATAGGATTTTGAAGTAGAAGGCAACTTTCAAAAAGTGCACCCCACTTGCATACTCTTGAAGGCAAGCATTCTGAACCCCGGCATAATATTTGTTGTGCGTCATTCGATGCATATACAACACCACCGTGACGCGAAGTATTCGGCATTTTATGTGGTGCTATGATCATATTCATGAGTGCATAATAATGATTCATTGATGTTGGAATTTGATATGCTTCGGATAGTAATCGCCCTCGTATGCCTTTCGTGCCTATCGGAAGGAATCCGGGAAAGTCTCTGTCTTGGGTAGACGCGAGCTTGTCTCTAGTTCCTTGTCGAGACGGTTATGTCCGGTAAGGCATGGTGAGTTATGATGAGTGGTGATTCTGTCTGATTGGTGTGAAATATATTTTTGATGCTTATCATGCAGGAACTGTCTTAACCTCCTGAGTCGACCGTAGATCGAGTCTTGTTCTAGTAACCCCCATACTTGTTTCGTACTACCACTTGTCCCTGCCATAGGTAGGTTACGGTTCAGTAAGTTGTCAACTCCTTCCTAGCACACACCGTACAGAGAGGCCATGGTGGAAGATACCGGCTGCATCCGGTAGACATGCCACCTGGTCCGGGGGCATGGGTGCTTCCGGTTGGAGCCGAGGGGATAGCTCCCCTAGTTTACGCGTGTTATAAATTTTGTGATCCCATGCTAGTCGAGGTTGTAGCCTCCCCACTTAGAGTTTTGCTTAACGGGTGTCGTGGGTGATTCCAGACACCGGTAAGTTAGGCTGGTGTGTGGGTCAGGTGTGTTTTCAATTAAAAGACCGTAGACGGAATTAGTCCCGATGGACTAAAGGAATCCGTTACTCGTGAGTAAAGAGTACACCCTCTGCAGAGATTATATCTATTCGAATAGCCGTGTCCATGGTTAAGGACAACAGTCTGGGATGGGTCAAGTGTCGGTCTTAGTGTCGATCTTCGGAGGAAAAATTGCTAAACTAGAACATGGATCGTGACTTGTGACTCATGATGATTATGATTACTATTATTATGGACTAACCATTTACATTATTTGAATTATTGAGTATCCCTGGGACGGTTCTACCTCCTGGATATTCACTGTGATTATCCTCTTATAAGCCCTTTATGTGGTGTCGCTCATACGCCCGACTGTGGCATGCTTGTTATTTAAATTATTTATAAGCCCTTTATGTGGTGTCGCTCAGACGCCTGGCTGTGGCATGCTTGTTATTTAAATTATTTATAAGCCCTTTATGTGGTGTCGCTCATACGCCCGACTGAGGCATGCTTTATATTATTATCCTTTCGAGGCGTCGCTTCAGACACCCGATCGGTGCATTCTATTTCTACTCCCTTATTGCATATTCATGTTGTATATGAATAACCTGCTTGTGTGCATCATGGATTTTTTTTATTTTGTGACTGACGTGGTGATCAGAGAATATTTCAGAGCATGATTATCATTTGTTATATTATACCTGTGTTCATAATGTTTGCGAGTACATTCAAAAGTACTCACTGGCTTGTCCCTGGCTATTGCCTTGGCCAGATTTCTTGCATGGAGGGGAGCGTTGCGATGACAACCCCGGAACCTACGCAATGACGATAGTAGCTTCGCGAAGATAGGTGTTATCCAGGTCAGCTGTTCCTGTGGGAAATGGAGTCCCATAGACACTGATGAACCACAAACCGCTTCCGCCATCAGCCACTAGAAACCATTTGTTGTACTCATAGGCCAGAATGGTCTTGTACTACATATTATGTATTTTGCTTGGAGTTTCTGTATCAAGTTGGTGTCTCATCAGCTAACAGTAATCCTGGGGCTGGTGAGCACAAGGGCCATTTTCTAGGAAATTAATATCCTGGAAAACCGGTCACGACAACCTTGGTATCAGCGCCAGGCTGACCAATGGCTAATCCTATCTTAGCTGGGTCGATAAACCTAGGTTAACCAATCCACCAGACCTTAACCTAACCCCGGCCAAGCTTCTCGTGTAAGATAGCCACAGAGTGACCCCGACACCTTTTGGCAGTTGGTGCCCAACCTATCAGCCTAGCTTGTCGATCACGCGCCAGTGACCGACACCTAAATAGTCTCTTTCGCAAGCGTGCGAAGGAAGACTCTGTTCCCTTTTTCTATAAAAAGGGCACGCTAGCCTCAACCCAGCACAGCACAGCCTCTTCCCCAAACCAAGCTATAATGCCTGGCCCCGTTGTGCACAATGAGACCACAACAACCAACCTTGGAGGTTTTGTGACCGTGCTAGCAAACCTCACCCGCCGTGCCTTTGCCTTAGAAGAGCCCCCAGAATATGTTGTGTACCAAGGGCCCATGAGCGGTGAGAGCTGTCAATTCTGGGCCACTGTGCACGTCTATGGTAGGGGTCTATCGCCATAATGCCCCTACAGGTTCACCGGAAGGACAACTTCCTTTGAGCCACAAGCCATCCAACTAGCTGCTCGAGAGGCTATAGTTCAACTCCAGCACTTGTCGCCCAGAGTTAACTGTCGCTTGTTCTACTACTACCCCAGCCGTAACGGGTATGGTAGGCCACCCCAGGTTGCCAACAGAGATCACGAGACGGATCCTGCATTGTTGCATCTGGTGCGCTATGTAAGTGCACTAGAGGAACTGTTCGATCAAATCACCCTTGATCTGATTGTAGCTCA